CCCTTTGCCCAGCTCTCCAGCCTGGCCAGATTGATTCAGTCAGTCTGAACTCTTTCCGAAATACTGATTCGCTTTTAAATGGCAAAAATTCTTCTCTGGACTCCAGCAACTTAAAGGTAATGGGAATGGTAAGGGAAAGGAAATATTATGTTTTATTCGTTGTTACCTTGACACTTACAGTATTTTACATTTTGCAGTTGATGAAGCTTTTGAACGGGAACACACGACTCCAGGATTGAACGAAAGCAATGAGCAAAATACGGTCTCAGAGGAAGGAGGAGAAGAACAAGAGGAAGAAGCTGTCCCCTTAACGCTGGAAGAAAGAGAAAACAAAGATTACCTTAAATCTCTCTTTGAGATTTTGATCCTCATGGGTAAACAAAATATTCCTTTGGATGGCCACGGTGTTGATGAGCTTCCAGAAGGTATTTTCACTTCAGATAATTTTCAGGCTCTGCTGGAATATAGAATAAACGCCGGAGATGAAGTTCTGAGGAAACGATTCGAGATGACCGCCGTCAATCTTGAGTATTGTTCGAAAACGCAGCAGAAGCAAATGCTTGAGATCTGCGAGAGCTGCGTGAGAGAAGAGACGCTGAGGGAAGTCAGAGACTCGCACTTCTTTTCGATCGTCACCGATGAAGTAGTAGACATCGCGGGAGAGGAACATTTGCCCGTGTTGGTGAGATTCGTCGACGATTCCCATAATCTAAGAGAAGAATTCATAGGGTTTTTACCGTATGAGGCTGATCCTGAAATTTTAGCTGTCAAGTTCCACACGACCATCACTGAAAAATGGGGCCTAAACATGGAGTACTGCCGAGGTCAGGCCTACATCGTCTCCAGCGGGTTTGCTTCTAAAATGAAAGTTGTGGCTACGAGACTGTTGGAAAAGTATCCCCAAGCCGTGTACACGCTCTGTTCCTCATGTGCCTTAAATGCCTGGCTGGCAAAATCCGTCCCCGTTGTCAGCGTCTCCGTCGCGCTAGGGACAATCGAAGAAGTTTGCTGTCTCTTTCATCAGTCTCCGCAGCTGCTGGCGGAGCTGGAAAACACCATTTCTGCTCTTTTTCAGAACAACAAGGAGAAGGGTAACGAGCTGAAGGAGATCTGCCGTTCTCAGTGGACGGGCAGGCACGACACTTTCGAGGTTTTGGTGGAGCTGATTCAAGCGTTGGTGCTGTGCTTGGATGCCGTGAGCAGCAACTCGTCCGTCAGGTGGAACAATTTTATCGCCGGGCGAGCTTTTATGCTTTCGAGCGCTTTAACAAATTTTGACTTCATTGTCACCATTGTCATTCTGAAGAACGTTCTGTCTTTTACGAGGGCTTTCGGAAAAAATCTCCAAGGACAGACCTCGGATGTGTTCTTTGCAGCGAGCAGCTTAACGGCCGTGTTGCATTCTCTGAACGAAGTGATGGAGAATATCGACGTTTACCACGAATTTTGGTTTGAGGAAGCGACGAACTTGGCCGCCAAACTGGACGTACAAATTAAACTGCCGGGCAAATTCCGCAGGGCGCAACAGGGCAGCTTGGACTCTGAGATAACGTCGGAAAATTATTACAAAGAAATCCTTAGCGTCCCTACGGTGGAGCACATCATTCAAGAGCTGAAAGATATCTTCTCGGAACAACATTTAAAAGCTCTCAAGTGTTTATCCTTGGTGCCCTCTGTCATGGGGCAGCTCAAATTCAACACGTCCGAGGAGCATCACGCCGACATGTACAAAAATGACTTGCCTAACCCGGACACGCTTTCTGCTGAGCTTCACTGTTGGCGGATCAAGTGGAAGCACAGAGGGAAAGATATCGAACTTCCAGCGACTATTTATGAAGCACTTCACTTGCCCGACATCAAGTTTTTCCCGAACGTTTATGCGTTGCTGAAAGTCTTGTGCATCCTTCCGGTGATGAAGGTGGAGCACGAGAAATACGAAATCGGACGAAAGCGCTTGAAGGCGTACCTGAAAAACACCTTGACGGAGCAAAGGTCGAGCAACCTAGCTTTGCTGAACATAAACTTTGATATCAAACATGACTTAGATTTAATGGTGGACACTTACATTAAACTCTATCCAGATAAAGTAGAATTTCAGGAAGACTTTATCCCCTCAAACAACTCGGAAGTAACAGGAGAGGCTTAATTTTTTAAGCTCTGTCTGATCTGTTGAGATGGCTTGTTTCTTAGCTAAGGGGAAAGAAAACAAAACTGTGAAATGTAAAATAAAAAAAACATCACTGCAATCATATTTCCAGTTTAGGTCTCGGCCTGAAGCAGCTGTGGTCTGTGACCCAAGTTAGGGTTTGTTAGTCTGCGTTAGATGCAGTTAAATGCGAACAAAACCGAGCCTGAACATCAGGCCGTGCTCTTGGCAGAGGTGCTTTCTACCTACGATCGACTTAACTCGGTGCTCGTTGACTTTGCTGCATCTCGGGAAATAAAGTACCTCGTGGTTGTAGATCTGACGAGGCCGTCTTTGCTCGTGAATTAGGAGAAGAGAAGGAAAGTGCAAAATGTTAAAGGTTGTCCATTTCAGTTCTGTTACTTCAGATTTCATCCTTTTTTAAAACTTTTTTTTTTTAAAATCTGTCACGTGTATTTAATTGGCGTGTTGGGGAGCGGGTTCGGCACGATCCCTGTGCCGTGGCCTGTTCTCAGTGTCGAGTTGGATGTAGCGGTAGAGAGGTACGTTTACGGTTTCGTTGGAAGAGCCAACCTCTTCAATCTCTCGGCGACTGTTTACATTCCTTTGTGTGAGACACAAACCTTTTCGTCCTTTAGGCTTTTAACAGGCATGGCAGGAATACTGAAATTCCGAAAACAAAAATTGATTCCACCAACCTTTAAGTCTGCTCGTTCTGTCCTGACTCTGACACAACCCCCTGTGTCTTGTTGTCTGTTTATTCGTTAACTCACCCAGGAAAGATTAAAAGAAGAGATTTTCCCATCGGTCGGTAAGATGGAAAATATCGCTGTTATTTTTTTGGCGAGAATGAAACGTGGGGGTTTTTTTTGTACAGTTTACTGCAATCTGAAATAAAATGTGAATTGCTTTTTACGTAGCGTTGAACTCCTTAGTAAAGCTGTGCCTCTTGGAGAATGCGTATTCATTTTGTATGGTTCAGTTCTTACAACTTTGGGTTTGGCATTTATTTTTACTCTGGTTTTGCACTTCTTTTGCACACAACTTTGGGTTTGGCATTTTTATTGTCTGTTTTTGCGCTTCTGGTGAGTGGTGTTGCCTTAAGAGACAGGATCCTTTGTGTAGTAGCACTTCAGATCCGTATGTTCTGCCAAAGGGTGGCTTTTTTGATGTTTTTTGGTTTAGTTTTTTTTTTTTAAAGTATTCTGAGCAAGCACTAGATACTGTGCTTCTAATCATGCAAGTCCTGTTTAGCTGAAATGGAATAAATTTCGATTGGTTGAAAAGTGAGGTTTTGCAGCTCTCCTGATGCGTGCTAATTTTTCAACTCATTTGTTATAAATGAGCTTAAAAATATTTCTACACTTGTCCTCTTTTCCCACCTGTGGTGGGAAAAGCCCCCTGCAACCAAACCAAATGGTTCTGGAGACTGCGACTGTTTTAATACAAACAACAACCAAAAATTTGAAAAAAAAAAACCCTTTACTTAAGTCAGTTTAGACTCTGAAGTGGCCATGTTCATCTTAAGAAATACTTTCAGGAGCTTTTACTTACATTGGAGTAGTAAAAATTACTTTTAATAAGTCTTTTCTTTCCGTGGCTATTTGTATATGCTCTCTGGAATGCTTTCATGTTATTGTCGCCTCGAATAACTTTCTGTGTTCCTCCAAATGTGGGGAAAATAGCCCAAACCTGTGTTAATGGTGTAAGAAAAAAAAAGAAGAAAGACATTTTTAAATTAGTAATCATACTGAAATTTTCCATATTTTTTTTTTAAGATCGTAATTACAATTTTGGTAAAAAATCTTTCCCATCCTTGGAATGTCTGGGATAGACCTTGAGGCTGTGAGCCCCATATCAGCAAAATCAGGTTGGCTGAGCCTGGGCTGGTGGGCGTAATCAGAGCAGGAAAATCGATACCCAGGGCCGTATAACTGGCTGAAACTGCTGAAAGTGGCTTTCCGCTCGTGTAAACAAGATCTTTCTTTGACCGATGCACCGAGACAAATTGAAGAAGGGAAGCGCAGAAACTCTCTTCTGCAGCTCAGCTGAGACAAACCCTTGTGACTCGCGTTGCTGACGAGCTGGCTCCAAAAGCCCGATGAATTAGAAGCACCTTAATTAGCTGAGTTGATTTATCCCATGAGTGAGGAACACCTTGTTTTAGCCACGTCGATTAAGGAACCTGTAGAAGGCAGCCTCGGTATCGGCGGCGCGATGATTCCCGTTGGATGGCGCTTGCTGCCAGCGTTGCTTGGATATTCGACAGCCCTTCAGCTGAACAGGTGGGGATGGAGGAAAACCAATTCCTGAAACTCTAGTGGCTCCTGTCTTATCTCTGGGGCGTGCGGAGGAAGGATGCGACTGAAGTGGAAGCCGGTAATATCATTCCAAAGAGTTGCTCGAGCAGGTCAGGTATTTGAGAAAGTGGCTGAAAATCAGACAAATAATCACTGAAGATAAATCTTGATTCCATTCTTTAAACAGATTCTCGAGACAGAAAGAATCATCATCTTAAATATCCTGCAGTGTGTGTTTCCGAGGTGTATCCGAGACATTCACCTCGCTTTGACCTGGCTTTTTTGGCACGTTCCATGCAATAAATATGTGTTTCTTTTATGGGGTGTTGCTGCCATAGAAATAATTTTAGGGCAAGTGGATTTTCCGTAGCTGCTCAGCTGATTGTGGTTTGTGAAAGCAACCCTTGTCCTGGAACACAAACTCTGTTGCCTTTTTCCCACGTGGGGGGTTCCTGTTAGAAATTAGTTTTCTTTTTTTTCTTTTTCTTTTTTTCCACCAAAAGCAGCACATGCTTTTCTCTCTCCTGTAGTGTCATTTCTGTCACCGGCCGCAGAAATCCTGTAACTGCTTATTCTGCTCTATCGCAAGAGTTGCCAGAAACATCCCAGTTGCTCTGAGAGGAGGAAAACAAATCTCGACTGGATCTATTTCAAGAAAGAGTTACTAAACTAGAATAACAATAGGTGTTAGCCCAAAGTAGGCTTAACATTCAGTAATTTCTAGACCTCTGATGCTCCCTACTCTTTCTCTAAGGAAAACAGAAGAACAGCAGTCTCCCCGATGTTTTCCCTTATGTATAAGGAATGAGGCACCAGCAAAAAAAATAGAAAATTGGCAGTTTCGACAGCAGTTTCTAAGAATATGTGTGTTTGCTATAAATTTCCTTTACTTTGCAAAACAACGCTGTTAATCAAATAGAATTTAACGTTCCGTAACACGGTGATTGTTTTATTATTGCCAGGATTGTCCAATGTTTCTATTTCTGTGTAGCAAGCTTGCCTTTTTTTTTTCTTAAACCCGTGCCTGTGTGTCTTCTGTTTTAGCTGGCAACGTAGCCACCCCTGGAAGCATCCTTGGAAGCGAGGAAGGTGCTGGTGAAGTTTTTTCATCGAGATTGAGGAGCAGTGAAAGGACAGGTGCCTGTGTAGTGCCTTGTTCCTCCGCGTTGTAGCGTCCCAAAGTTAAATGCGTCGGCGAGTAACTGCCCGTGTGATCTTGCGGTCGATGATTCTCTTGTGCTGCTGTGGCCACTGCGAAAGCGTTTTGTGTGAGGCTCTCGGCGACCCCCCGTGCATGTTAATTGACATCAGCGCTCCTCAGGAATTAATTAGTTTCCTGGTTGTAGGAGTACAGACTAAAGGATGGCTTTTACCACCCCCCAAAGCCGCCTGTCCTACCTGCAGGCAGATCATAAAATGTTTTTTGAGAATATTTAGCCACACAGAGAGCCAAGGAGAAGCTCCCTCCTTTATTGGATGCGGGGGTGAGCAGTACCACCAAGGATAAGGAAAAGGCAGAGGTACTTCATGCGTTCTTTGCCTCAGTCTTCAGTAGTCAGATGAGTTATCCTCAGGGTGTTCAGCCCCTGGAACTGGAAAACAGGGATGGAGGTGGAATAAACCCCCCATAACCCAGGAGGAAGCAGCTGCACCACCTGGACACTCCTAAGTCCATGGGGCCAGCCACCCCCGGAGTGTGGTGGGGGCTCGCAAAGCCCCTCTGCATCATCTACCGGCAGTCCTGGTGAACAGGGGAGGTCCCAGATGACTGGAGGCTTGCCAAGGTGACACCCAAGGGCTGGGAGGAAGATTTGGGGAACTACAGGTCTGTCAGTCCGACCTCAGTGCCGCGGAAGATGATGGAGCCGTTCACCTTGAGTGCCCTCACACGTCATGAGCAGGACAACCAGGGCATCAGGCCTGGCCAGGGTGGGGGCTCCTCGCTGGTTTAGAAACTGGCTGGGTAGCCAAGTCCAGAAAATTGTGGTGGATGGAGTTTAGTCCAGTTGGTGGCCGGTCACAGGTGGTGCCCCCTAGGGTTCAGTTTTGGGGCCAGTCTTTACCGATGATCTGGATAAGCAGATCGAGTGCTCGCTCAGTAAATTCTCAGATGACGCCAAATTAAATGGGAGTGTTGGTGTGCTGGGGCGCAGGGAGGCTCCACAGAGGGATCTCGATCCATGGGCCAAGGCCAGTTGTGTGGGGTTCAAGCTGGCCAAGGGCCAGGTCCTGCCCTTGGGTCAG